GATTAATTCAATAAACTGTGATTATATTGATTGAAACCTCTAATAGAAGATTAAATGAGATAACACATATATATAGGACTTTGTCCTATTCACTTAAAGAAAATAAAAACACTTTAAAATGATTTTCTTCTTATAAGTGTAAAAAATAAAATCAAAGACAAAGAAAATAAACAATAGAAAAGTTTTTTTTCACCAGGGTGACCCCTACAGATACTATTTCTGTTCCAAACTATCCAGATTTCTATTTTCTGAACTGAAAGGGATGTTTTTTTAATTTTAAGAACTATTATGTAATCTCCCATAGATACATTTTTTGACTGACCTCGGTTTGTAAAGATAAGGAATAATCTGACTAAATGGATGAGTTAAAGATTAGACAGATTGCAGCTAAGACTAAAATGTTTAGGGTTAGGGTTAGGCTAACCAAACCCCATGCTTTKTTGCAAACTCTGTGGATGTAATCTCCTTAATGAAGATCTGTATTTATGTGCTGAACAGCTCCTGACCAACCACCAAAGAGGAAACCAATGAAGAAGATCTCAAGAAAGCCTACACAAACTGTAACAATTGCTGTCACTACGACTACACAACCAATTAAAACTACAACCACCACCACAACTACAACCCAACCCACAACCACCACCACTACCACCAGAGCAACTACCACTACCAAACCCACTACCACCACAACCAGGAGAACCACCACTACAAAAAGACCCACCACCACCCAGAGACAGACTCACATCCAGACCACCACAGTGTGGCTCCCGCCTCCCCGAACCACAGCTGATGTTTACTTAGACAACCACAGAGAAAGGCACCTGGCAAAACCCACCCCAGCTGAAGACAACACCAAGAAAGACAGCCAATATCCAAACATCCACAAAATGCCACCTGTCACAAACAAACCCTCCAAGATCAAACCCACCAAGAAGAAGAATGGAGGAGATAAGGTAATTATTCAAAATTAAGATAAAGTACTCAAAAAATGTGCTTTGGAAAATACTTTAACCAATACCAAAATAATTTTAGAACCTAGGATTTCCTGACAGACTATATTGCCTACTTTCATACGAGTTGTAAACTTAGCTTATAAGAAGATAGCTTAAGAAATGATGGAGTATAGTTGTTACAGTCAAACCTTGAAAATAACTACTTAATATAATCTCACACTATATTATGAGATCTCATSCTTAAAGTACAATATGTGTTGTTTTCATCTACCACCATGTAAAACTTTAGGCTCAAGTTTTATTCATATTTGTGCTTTCTAGTAGAAATCGACCGATACAGTTTTTTGAAGGCCGATACCGATACAAGGAAAAAAACGCAAATATCGGCCGGCCGATGTATAGGTTGACCCCTACTYTCTAGGTGGCCATTTTGAATTGGATTGACTCCAACAGTTATAATTATAGATGAATATTTATTTGTCCCTCTTTGAAAGTTGAATTAAAACCTGTCCAGTTTTTCAATTGAGATATTTTGCTAATCTGACAGAAACAAACATGCAGACATGAACAAAAACTTAAGCCTCTTTCATAAGAGGAAAGGCCAGTAAAATGAGCCTGCCTCTGATACACCCCTGAGCCAAGTTGGGGTCTCTGCGGACAAGTGGCCATTTCCCAATGAAAGGCGATTCTAAAGAGACACACCTGATTTGACGGATCTTTTTAAAGTGACACACCTGATTGGACAAGCAAAAAAAGGGGTGTTACTGTACAGCATCACCTAATTGATCCTTGCGTAGGCTTCACATTATTAGCTTGCTTTTCTACCGTCCTTAGCAGCGGACTTTCATATTTATTTTCATTATATTTAGTTTCATGAACTTGCTGTTGTTACAGAAGTAATTAGAAGACTTGGTAATTAGATTATGTTTCTTGCTGGTATCTGTAATGTCTATATTTATTATTTCGGAAACTTCGCCAGTGACTCTACGTTGTCTCCATTCATTATTTCTGCTTCCGGTTACATTTCAAAATAAGAGCAACATAAGTCTGTAGTGGATTTTTTTAAAGATATAAGTTGTGAGGGCTAAATGTTTTTATTTGTACATTGTGAAATTATTGTGAAAGTGGTTAAAGTCAATTAATAAATAAAAATATACTAAAAAATAATAATGGTACTTGAAAATGGTAAATAATGGTTCTTTACTTGGGGTAAAGTTGGGCCGATCTTTGTAGCAATTTTGTGGATTTGACTTATGAAAGAGGCTATTATCACACTGTCACTTTCAGCGGTAGCGGTAGGTGATGAAAAGTCAAATTGACTTGGACTCCACAGTGTCAGATCCAATAACATGTAAATATTAAATGCACCCATTTAAGAGTGTGTGAACCAAAATATCAGTGTGTACCTAATCAAACAAAATGAGTCACCATGAGTCAATTTGTGGTCAGATCAGCCATGTTAGCAACAATTCTGAACAGATGCTTTATTTTCAAACTGGTATGATTATTCTCTAATATGTCTCACTGATTTTTCATCAGGAATGAAAGTTAAATTACAGCATTTTTCTGTGTGCAGATCTTAACTAAAGAATTTGTGGACAAGTATGAGCTAAGTAAGCCAACTGTAAATGGTCCAGAGGAGATGGAAACCTTCACCRATGTTAGTCCCACCAAGAAGGTCAAGAACGATAAGCATGAGAAGAAGAAGAAAAAGAGCGACAAGTCTTCCAGGAAAACTGACAGGAGAGGAAAGGTTGGGAAAGAGAAAAAGATTGGAAGTAAGAAGAAAGGAAATAAAGYATCAAAGTACCTGGAAAAACAGGAATACCCAAAGCCCACTAAGAGACCAGTGGCCCCCACAAAAGGACCTTTGGATTCTTTCCTGGACTACTTTGAGAACAGGAGGCGATTGTTGGTGAGAGCATGACTTAATATTCTCATTTCATTAAAACTTTACTTTGTCCCTTCCAGATTCCATGCAGAAGAAAGGTTATCTCTAAGACAAATGGTTCWGTACAGTAACTAACTGTAAAATTATGTATTGTTTTAGATTTATTTCATTTGTTTACAGGGGGTAGAAACTATAAAGATGCAGAAATGTTAAGCCTAAAGTAAAATGCTAACTCAAAGCTGGTTTGGGAAAGTACACACTATTTCATTTTTAATGTTTATCTAATCTGCACATGAAGCCATCCTGTTTTTTTCCCTACACAACAAAAAGTAGACCAAAGTGCCAAAGCAGTGTGTGCAAAACTTGGTCCACCCTTACTGTTTTCATAGAATTTAAAAGCACAAGTAGCAGTCAGGCGCTTAAAATTAAATGGACTGATTGATTAACTGGGCAGTTTTATTATTCCAACTCTGTAACAAAGTAAGAAAACAATGCTTGTGTAGTACATTGTGTAGTGTTGTTTAGAATGAGTCCTCCTCATTTTCAGTTTTGGTAAGAATCAGTTGGCATTTTTTTGTTTTTGTTTTTTTCTTCGTGAAACTTTAAAACTGAAAGTGTAGCTTTTACCATGACTACTGGCTGGAACTTTAGCCATGCTAGCAGGTAGATTTTGTGCCCTTTGGTTTGATACTGTCTAGTTATTCCCTTGTGTCAGACTGCCAGCACTTTAAAGATATGAAGGAGAGTGTTAGCCTGGTAAAAACCAGACCCTGTCCTTCACTTTGCTTCATACAGAGGTTCTGGACTCTYGGCTATAGAGAAGTGATTCTTGCTGGAGGCGTGGCCTCTGCTGAAGTTTAAAATGATTGGATCAGTTGGCCATGGCGTATGTGTGCCAGCTCCACTGTGAAGGAGGCTAAGCTAAGAAGCTAACCGGAAATCGCGTGTGCTGTAAACAA